CTCCATCTTGAAACCTGAAATCTGAGTTTGTGCCGTCTTCTGTAATACAATTTTGAACACTGTTGAAATGGGATTATTCTGAGATAGCTACCCAGTCTTTAAAAGCTTTGATTCCCTTTGCGACCCTTGCGTCTGATGTGGATTTTCAACAATAATTATCATCACACCAAATATATTCCCCTAGTGGATGTTCACAAATACATCAGAATTGTAGTCGAATAGATCGAATTCGAGCGCTGTTCAAAGATCTAATGAATTAATAATTAACGCAACCCGTCGAATGTCCGATTCAGTACAAAATGTCACAGAATTGCATGTTGATAAAACTAATTTTTTCTTTCTTGTCATTTGCATGTACGAAGTAATGGAACTATTCTAGTCACGAAAAATTTCGGGTATCATATTTCAACGAAAACATCCATTTTGACCGCTCTTGAATCCATTTGAGCGACGTGTTTGTGTGACATTTGGACGTATGGACATAATAAAGCACTATTTTTTCCAAAACAGATTGTAAAATGGATTTAAAATGGATTCAGAAGAGATTTTTTTGTAGCCTCAGAACGTTGGCATCGACATGAGGGTTGAACATGGGACTTCTATAATATGCAGTTGTGCACCTGCCTTTTAGGTTGCAATCTGTCTCACCAAAAGTATATATATATATATATATACTCACCCTGTTACTTGGCTCGGTTAACTCAATTTTTTTCAATCTTATATGTTGGTAAATTGTTTATTTTTTACTTTAAAAGTAATTGAATTATGTTGTTCTAATGTTCCGGTTAAGGTTTTTATTCCTTTAGATAATCTGCATGCAATAGTTGTAGAATTATCAACAATTAAAAGTCGTACGTAACGTACCTGCCATTTGTTTACGAAACTCTTTTGTAGAATAATGAATTAAGTCAGTTTCTGAAACTTCAGTGTCTTTTAGCCGAGTGGGACCAAAAGTAAACTTTCAGTTTTGTGCACCGAAAAATCTGCCTTCTTGCCCGCTGGCCGAATTGCTTGTTTTTGCGTAGAAACTGTAATTTCAATTGTAAATTTTTTTAAACTGTTTTCACTGTATTTGTTGTTTTATGTTTTTCTGTACTTTACAATTTTTAATGAAGATGTTTTGAGTTCTTATGTATTTTTGCCTTGCCGCGAAGTGAGAACTGAATTAATTGAATGAGAAATAAACCTCGAATGCAAGTCCGATAGCTGCTTATTGTAAGGAAATCTTTGTCCGCTTGCTGGGATTTGATCCCGACTCAAATAACCGATATTCGGCCGTGATATTTACTCGACCACTTTGTGAGCAAAATGCCTTAGAAAATGAATTTTTGTGAAAAGAAGTATTTTTACATTGAGTTTATATATATATCTACACATCCCTTTTTCATTTGTTTTATTTAAGCCGCAATAATAAAATTTTGAGACTTTATAAAACGGTTTATAATTTTAAAAAGACTTTAAAACGCGTTTTGGATAAGTTTCTTTGCCAAAGTATCTGATAACGGAGCTACATTTTTAGATTAGGAATTTTCAGTTTGATTTTAAAATTTCAACCACTTCACAAAACCCATTAGGAATAATCAGTGTGACAGTTAAAGTAGGAATTTTTTCCTTGATTTCGTGACATTAAATTTTTGCTACGTCATATTAACTTCGTTAGTTACGTAAAAAAATATTCGATAGTATTTCAAAACTATCACGACAGTCACTGAAGACTTCACTGAATGTTAGACTTGATTAGGGCAATTAAAATACTCTAATGAAAAAAACCTTTCATAAGCATGTTTCTACTTGCGAACCAATCCAAAACGAAGCGAGAGACTATATGACAAACGACAGTTTATCAATTATTAGTTCGTTTCCACTTGAGGGTGAAAAATGTGTATTTAGAGTATTGTGTATAAAATTAAAAAAAAAAAAAGAATAAAAAGTAAAAAATCCATGCAGTGTAAAGTGTTTTTAACACCTTAAGCTTTGTTCTAACTGTGAATTTCGTGTTCTGGTAAAAGGAAAATTGTTGTTATTTCATTTAAATGCGTGCATAATTTTTAAACCTTGCGTGCAGGAAATGAAATGAAAAAACTGTATATTTAAATATTGAAGAGTTAAGTCTTTACTAAACATATGCAGTATTCTTCATGTAGCATTAATTTATGATGGAATAATAATATCGTATTGTGTTTTTCCTTGCTATTAGGATTCATACATTTCAAACGAGTTTAGAAGAACTTGTTTGAAATATATGAGTGTTATTACGCATCCTCATTTCCGAAGGATTAATTCTGAAACAAGTATCAGGTAGCAACTGCTTAAAACTGTTTAAGGTGTTAAACTGGAACTGAAATATGGAGATCAAATTAAAAATTCACATTTTTGTAATATGTTTTAAAGCGTTAAACTAATATACAATTTTCAAAACACGTTCTTGTTTTTTTCCCGGAAAGCAAGAGCACATAAACCTGCTGTGTCGACAATATCAATCAATCTCAAACGCCGTGTCGAGGAAAATTTCTGTCACTGAACTTCGTCTCGTGTTACCATTAAGGTGTTTAAAACTCAAGTCATACAACCGGACATGGCCTGAAAATTGGAAAAAAATCTATTGTTTACTGGTCACCACAACCACGCCCAAACCGTTCTTTAACCGTAGCATATTTAAATCTCTTGAATTAATAGCTGAGAAAACGCACTCAAAAGTGTCGCGTGAGATCGGAAATGGGTTTCCAAAAAATGTGTCTTTTGTCGCTGCGTGTCATTTCTTTCGCGGCGGAAATAATTAATTGGTTTTATGATAACCGGCTTTGCTTTCCTAAACCCTAAAATTCGCTTAGAATAGCCGTCGGAAACTTTCAACCGTGCACGTGATTTGACATTAATTATTTAGTAAAGTGAACTGTGAGTAATTATTTATTAATTAGGATTTTGCTATGAATTACAAATACAGTATAACCCCAAATAATCATGGTTTCTCATTTTCTGGAGCAAAACTGTAAGTTTATGGAGAAGTTTCGACTATTCCATTACATTATCAATTGCGCATTTTCATTTATGCGACTTGGCAAATATTGCCATTGAGGATAATTTATCTTTCATCTAGATATAAAAAGCATTCGATAAAAATGAGCTGAAAATTTGCTAAGAGAAATTGGTTTAGTATCTCAAAAATATTTACTGTCGTTATTAGATTTACTGTCGTTATTAAAAATCTGACTACTAGCTGATTTTTATCGTAATTTGACAAACCCAATTCTGTTGCATTGCATTGTTGTCCACTTCTGTTGCCGAAGTGCAGCATACGCATTTGTGATTATCATTTTATGCTTACGAAGGGGATGTACTATTTTGCAAACTGGAGAAATTGCTTATTTTCGGGGATAGCAACGGTCCAATTTCCCTAGGATAACTGACCTTCTACTGCTTAAATAAGATATCTTCAAACGTCGATAAATAGTACAATATTAAAAGCCTCAAAATGATTCGTATAGTTGAGACGGTGATGCAATATTAAGTATCTGACACTTTTCTTCAAAGATAAATATTAATGTATCATTCTGTAATTGCAGTACTTCTAGGGTATATGATTCAAAACTAATTTAACTGAAATCAACATACTTTTATAGCGGAATTATTGCGGTTAAAATTGCAACGAGCATTTTTCATATATCAGATTTAAAAAAGAATGAACTTTTTATTCCCAAAACTAGATTAACATATGCCACTTTTTATTATTCCCTTATTCTTATTGCATCGAACAGAAATATGAACAAGTTCCAGAGAAACATGTTATCCGAATACCATTGTGTTTTCATTTTTACCGTTTTAACTCTTCGAGCGACAGAATACTCTGTTGCCAGCAGTGATCATAAATACTGAGTATCATTAAAAATGCTTGAAACTAAGCAGAGAGAGACTGGAGTATATCTGAAGGGTTTGTCGTAAAATAGTGCTAATTAAATTGCTTATTTTGCCATTTTTTAGGATGAAAAAATATGCTGATAGCTGGCAGTATTTAAATAAAAGTTATTTAGAGAGGCGATAACCAAAATTTATTACATTTTCCTGGAATGTTTGCTTTGAGTACGTATCTATTTTCCACATTCACTTTTAATAATTTTTGGGAGCTAAAGCAGTTATTTTTGAAATCGCATTCATTACGCTGTGTTAATGTTTTCACCTTTATACATCATTCACTATTATTACTCTAAAGCTGTAGTTTTATCTTATTTTAATCCACTTTAATTAAACTAAAATTTCATCTTTGAAATAAAAACTTCAAAACTTTTAAATGAATAATATTATTAAATAAATATAGAATAATTTAAATTTTTATGACAGCATAATGATTGTAAGAATTTTTTGCTGCTGTCTTAAGCATTCACAGGAAAACGAAAATGAAATATTTTTCTAATTATTGAAAAGAAAAGAATTGAAATTAATTGAAATTATATTTTATTTTAATTATATTATAAAGTCTAATTAAATTATATTTATCTAATTATATTTATATATTTATCTAAGTATATTTATGTATTATTATATTTACATGTTTATCTAATTAAATTATATTTTAATGTCCGAAGAGATGTTATTGCGTGAGGATTATAACATTCTGAACTTAATCAAATGAATTAACTGTCAGTATTACTTTAGAAAGACATTTAGCAAATTTTTAGCCCAGAAGGAGTATTAATATCGAAGTGGTATTTTGCGTCGAATCGCTTTTCAAATTGTTGCCACCAAATATTATAAACATAATTATATTTAGGGAAATTAAATAATGAAGAATCTGCATGGATTTATGTATGTTTCTCGCATTGTGAAAAAATAAGGGTACCTAAAACCTAAAACAAATAATTTAATATCATAGACATTTCTGTTTTTATTCTTACAGAAAAATATCACGAACTGTTGAGTTTAATTCAACTTACAGAAGTTAATTTATTTTTGATTAAAAAACTTATGAGAATCCATATTCTTAAAGAAATAATCTTTTCTTTTAGTTGAGATGTGCGAGTGCTTACGTATAGCGATGCTGGACGTTCCTGAAACTGCCAACCAGGGTGATTCCGTCGAATTATCTTGCATCTATGATTTGGATAACGTTACTCTGTACTCCATAAAGTGGTATAAGAATGACATTGAATTTTACAGATACGTACCCAATGACTGGCCACCAGGACAGTTCCTACCTCTACCAGGTGTATCGGTCGATGTAAGTACTTACAACAAAGCTTTTAATTTAGTGTAGAATTCAATATTTATATCTCATATACTATAGGAAACTGACTATCTTGATTACGCGGTACACTCAATAAGTAGGAGAACCAGACTCGCTGCAAACCCCGAATTTATTAAACTATTGGGAATTAAGTCAACCGTAGCTGGTAACAGTGTAAATTTAACAAGAAATATCTTTCAGTCCTGAATAAATAGCAGTCTCAGAATTACGATAATACTTAAGCAACTCGTTTTGATTTTCCTTCATCTGGGAAGAGGTATCGACTTCTGAGATAGTTCATTTGTTTCACATAAATAAAGTTTTCTTTTCTCAGTGCCTGATTAATCTTCAAGAGGATAAAATGCCAATTGGGGTACCACTTGTATAAGTGATTTGCTGAAAATCGTAAACAGAATCACTTAAAATTTTTGTTCATAACAAGGAACACTAATACAAATAAAATTGATTAATGAAAGAGTTTCTGGTATAGCGAAAACAATCTTTCTCTCTCTATCTTTATAATTATATATATGTGTGTGTATGCAAGATAAAAAATATGTAAATCAGCTTCATAATTCAATTTAGTAATAAATAGCGTCTTAATTACTTTTTTAATCTGGGTATTTTCTCTGTATTCTAAAAAAATAATAACATTTCTGAACTGCGTCATTTCTAGATAAATCTATACCGGAGCTTGCGTAACGTTTAATGACTTAGTGGATTCGGAACCTAAACTCTGAAAACGGAAACATTTCTAACATAACATAAACGCAAACATTTCTAACCTATATATGCACACTTCCCCTGTATCTTTGTTTCTGCTTGGACGCAATTATGCCGTGCTCCCTTCCTATCGCAATAGTATTAAAAAATGTAAATATTCTGGAAATAAGCACGATTAGAGCGCCATGTAAATCTTGGCCACAAATGGGAATTTAAATAAAAATGGAATTTAATCTGTCTCGAGTGCCAAGTTTCGTATTAGTTATGGATTAGCATTCTACGCAATCAGAGTTCTTCCTCTTCAATATGGATCTACGATATGTCCTCTCTACGTTCAACACCCAACAACAATAATGTATATCTACGTTTCAGCATTTCTACATCAGTATTTCTAAATTTTGCTTTTATTGCATGTATAATCATTAATCAACCTTTAGAACCTTTAAAATTTCATTTTTGGATCTTAATTTAAAATTCATCAATAATATCTTCGCAGTCTAGTGGTATGGGGAAATCTTTTTATGTAGTTAATCATTGTTAAAGACGTTAGCCTTTTCTGTCTCACTGAATTTCATATTTGTAGTTTGCTTCAGACCAGAGAAAATTCTTTCTCCTGTTGCATTACTTACAGGCCTAATAATTATGTAAATTCTGAACAATATTTAGATATTAGGAAAACGGAGATGCAAAACTGTTATTTTCAATAAATAACGGCAACGTGAGCGGGTTAGTTTGCGCTAATTTGACCATTCATTGGTTGAAAGTGGCTGCATGAGTGTTTGATCGACGCTACTCTGACGCAGATGGCGTTCGCGTGACCCACCCACGCTTGCAAATTGGAAAGAGATGAATTACTTAAAATTGTCATCTAAATGCTAGTTCCTTACGATGATAAACTGTTTCACTTCCATGACATATACTCATGTTCTGACCTCAAGGGCGAACATGATACGTAAGGCCATGCACTTCCATTCAAGCCCATAGCTATCGCAACGAGCTAGCCCTAGCTTAGCATCAAAAACACAAGCAATAGCATCAAAAACGCAAGCAAGCGACCATAAATCAACAACCTCTCCGTCGACAGCGGCACATTCTTTCATTCTTAAATACTTGAAATAATTTGTTAATTTCTTTGTATTTTTTGCGTTTCCTTTCAATTTAATTACAAATTTTGTTACAAATAATATATAACATATTTAATTTAAACTCTGCTTACCCAGTTAAAATTGGTAATTTCACATGATTAGTTTTCATTGAAAATTCGTTTCCGTTTTCTTTCTTGTGTATTAGCGTGAAATTTAATGCCCTAATACCTTATTTTCAATGTTATTATATTTATCTCTTAAATTTCTTAAATATCTTAGTTTGTCACAATACATAAAAACCTTTTATGTATTGTGACAAACTTTGCTGCAAACTTATATAGATCATTAAATTATTATTGGAATATTATATGGATTTAAAGATGGCATTCTTTCTTTTCAGTGTTTTGCTTTAAATATATTAGTCATTATCATAATCATGTATTAGTCATTAGAAGAAACCACAATTTTCATATTTTTTTCCCTCAATATGTTTTGTTTCGGCTTGGAGTCCGATGTTTTTGATTCACTTTGAGAGCAGTGAAGCAGGACACTTCGTATTTCCTTATATTTATTTCAGATTGTTTTTATTGTATTTGATTGGCATGACCATCTAGTGCTACAACCTTGACAGTCCTATGTGGTGTGCCTAAACAGCCTTTTTTGGTTACTGAGACGGACATGTCGCGCTTAACGCGATATTCGTGACAAGACTTGATTCTATTAAATGATGAGTATCAGAATCTTTTATCTCATTTTCAATTAATTTATATTCCAAAGCGTTTCAACGACTAGGCAGCACAGAAAAAAAAAACGTGCAAATGCTTTCTACTATATATATATATATATATAATGTCGCTTGCAGACAGCACTGAAAGATATTTCTAACTAAATTATGAGTAAGTGAGAAAGTTCTACAAAACACTCCATAATGTTTCGTTTTATTGTTTAATATAGCCAGACTGCAGACCTCTATATTAACCAGACATGCTTGCTGCATTATTGCAACTCCAACCTCTGCAGCTTTTAATTTATATCTAAACTATTTAGCTGGTTAGATAAGAGCCACTCTACAAGTGTATAGATAAGAATCTAAAGAAATAATCCAGCATTAACAATTACATAACATATAGCGCAATATAAAAGTTGATCAACATACACCGATCGTATCAAATGGCGAATCAACAAGTATGGCACAGCTAAATAAGACGTTCATTCCTCAAATTCAGTTTAAGAAATATTCATATCTTTAAATTATCAAAATCAGCTAATCAGCTGTAAAGTATTTTCCACTAATTCACACTTGATCATCCGAATAATTTATTCATGTTATGTTTTCTTTGTACTCGGTTTTTAATTGGTGTATCTTTTCTTTTACACCCGACCTTAATTTATCATTTTTGTGAATTTTATTCCTAGGTGAGGGACCCTGAAAATTTTTACTAGCATGTTAACTTAGAATTATACGTTTTTGAATCTTAGTTAATAATAATTAAAAAAACTACCAAGATTTAACTTTCTGAAGGTACAAATGCTGATTAGGTTTCAAATTCTCGTAACTGGATACATAAATATTAATTTCTTGTACTTAATAATGCTGAAATATACCCATTATCAACTTAAGACACTTGCTCAATAATACACGTATTGTATTTGTAGAATTCTTCTAAAGACTTTTGGACAGTCTTTTAGAGATACTTCATTTTAATCAATTTTTATTTTTCAGTTTACTTGCAGGATAGGAAAACCAATGGCTCTTACGTCATAATTTCCAAGAAACGTTTTATTTCTCGTAAATTTTCTCGTAGTACTTAATATGCCTCGTATTTGTGTAAAATTATTGAGGAATAGATTCTGTAAGTTGGGAAAAAAGAAACCATATTTTTAACTTACTAACATGATGTCCAGAAATATGGGTGAAGTAGTGAAAGAATATGGCTTCAGTTGACTAGCTTCAATATTTAATAAAAGGAAAATATATCATTATTCTGATTTGTCTCACAAACTCATACCATTAAAAATAAAGAAGCTGTCTGAATTAACTAAGAAGGTACTGACAAAACTTTTCAAGTAAGAAAAAGTTTTATTTATCGCCTGCAGACTGAAAGCAATAAATGAAGAGATGATAAGCAGTTGTACAAACTTTGAGTCTGACGACGATTTCAGACAGATTAGAAAAAATGATTTACTTTAAAACAAAATCTTGGCAATTTTTTCCTCCAGGCCAGAAATAAATTTTTCAGATTGTTTAAATTAAAAAATCTGATGTGTACACCACATGATTTTCTTGTACGGAATATTAAATTATACGCAATTTTACTGCATTTCATTTAAACATATGGAATTAAAAATTAACGAATTTTAAATTAAATCTACTTCGTGGATAGCGCATAAACCACAGCAGATTAAATGTGGTCTTTAAAGATCACTATATTTATTTACCATAGCGATACTTCGACTCTAGGTTCACTTAACAGCATTACATCTCATTCATTTTATAACTCCGAGTGCACAAAAATTATATCATCTGAAGAATTACCACATGTTCTATTCAAATACTATAATAAATCTGAAATGATATGTAAAAGAAATTAAACTAATAAAAAAGAAACAATTTTTCGCAGACGATTCAGCGCCGCTTACCTAATGCTCATGCGTTACTAATTAAAACAATTCTTACAATTAAAATTACAGTTTCTACGCAAAACAAGCTAATAGCTTAAATCACAATTCCAGAATGAATTAAGCATAATTTAATTCGCAATAAAAAAGAAGACGTTACTTTGTTTTTGCGAAGCTTAATTTCTCTAGATTGGCAACAAATCCACTATTCTGCTAAGTTTCAAATGTAAACAACAAACATGGCTGCTATGGTAGTCAAAAATTAGGCTTAGCCACAATTAAAAAACTTTTAAATTGTTGATAATTCCACAATATTGCATGCAGGGTAACTAAATGCATAAAATCTTAACCAGAGTAACACAATTCAATCATTTTTAAAGGAAAAAACGCACAATTTACAAACATATAAGAATGAAGAAACTGAGCTCACTAAGACGAGTAACAGAGTGGATATATATATATATACTTTTCGGGCGGCCGATTGCAACCAAAGTACGACATGCACATCTATATGTTATAGCAGTGTACGTACGCACAGACGCCACAAAAAAATCCTCTTCAGAATTT